GACGATGGTGATGGACGGTGGCGGTGATGGTGGACGGTGGTAGTGGTGGACGGTGGCGGTGAACGGTTGTGGTGGTGAAGAGAAGTAGAAAAAAAAGGAGAAGATGTTAGAAGATGTTAGAAGACATTGGTTAATGTCTTCTCCAAGAAGATGCCAGGAAGACCTTTTTGAGTGAAATGTCTTCCAAAAAACAAACAATCTGCAGAACCCATCACTCTGTGCGCGTCTGCGCGGCGCAGACAAAAGACGCCAGAAGATCTTCTGGCAGAAAAACAAACACCCCTACATCTGACGTATATTGCAATTGTATTCTGGACTGGTGATTGCAACGGTGGAGTTTCAATCCTGCTAATTGCGGCGGCAAAGACCTAATGGAGTTCACCACGATTCCTCCGTATAATGCTCCAATATTAAAACAAAATGATATGTTTTTTTTTTTGAAATAAAATGATATGTTAATATGTTATAACTTCATTTCATTTCCGTCATCTTCAAACACTTTTCTTCCAGATTTCAAAACTCATGTCATTTCTCTCAGATTTTAAAAATTCATATCTCTAAAGTTCACCAAACAGACCCTTTAATATACTTTTTCAAAATTTGTGGTAATAAATAGTAAACTTTGACCTAAAAAATCAAAGTGAAAGGAATTGTATGAGACGGAGAAAGTAAAATTATTTTATTTACAAATTCGTATAAAAATAAAAAATGCTACGCACATTTATTTATATACGGAGTTTTAAAAATGACATCAAAAGTTCTAGTAGTGACATGCATATTTTATAATATCTAAAAATCATCAAATTTATGGTCAGGGTTTGTCAATATGTGTGTGTGTGTGTGTATATATATATATAATATCAATTTTATAAAAATTAATGGTCAAAGTTTACACATTTAATTTTTAAAAAGTCAATACTGTACAAATAGTTTGATACGGAGGTGAGCTATTATTATTTTATACAACAAATGAAAGGTGCATAAAACTAAAAAAAAGGGCAAAATCTTAAAACTCCCTTCTCTAGACTTTACCATGGGTGCCTACACAAAGTGAGAAAGTCCATAAGGGGGTCTTTAAAATCCTAGACTCCCTTCCAAGATTTTCAACTCAACCTATGGAAATTAGACACATGTAGTCAATAATACTTATTTTATATAAAAAATAGTTACCATTTTTGTAATAAAAATGGTAATTCAAAAAAACTGAAATATGTTTAGAAAACCAAAAAGGTACTGAGTAAAAAAAACCAAAAACATAAAATATAAAAATACTTCATCTGTCTCATATTTTTTTACAATTTATTTTATTTTCAACGGTCTTTCATGCAACACCTTAACTACTAATTGTTGGAGCACACTTTATAATAAGGTTGAACTAAAGTTGTGTTCGCTTTTGATATGTTTTGATGAATGCCAAACCGTTGTAAACATAATGATTTTGGTTGAACAACTCAAGACGTAGAACAAGGCATGACACAAGGCACAAAAGAATATAGAAAAAGATCAAGAGTTTTTGAAGACTTAGCTGAGTTTGGTTGAGTCGGTTTATTGTAATAAAAACCCGACAATCAAATCGAGTCTTGGTTCTCAAAGACATTTATTACAAAATCATAAAGTCATTTTTATGCCTCAAACAAATGTTCTTTCCACAAGTGTTTTTAAATTACCAAAAATCTCGGGTCATTGCCCAACCAAATTCCCAACCTATAGCTTTCGTCGTTCGTTCCACTATCGACATTGGTTTTCAGCGTCCGAATCAATCAAGTGTCTTTCACTTTATTATCTTTATTTTTTACTTCTGGGCATATTTAAAAGGTTCCCAAATCAATGTATTCTAAAAACCACTATTGGTTTTTGGGTTTTGGCCAAAAACTATGAAAAATATCTTTCAGTTTCTGATATGTGGTTTCACCTTAAAGACTTGGTTTTAAAGATTTAATACTTAGTTTTTACTTTATATAGTACAAATAAGTATTTCCAACAATTGGTTTTTAATTTAGAAAAATTGGTTTTTGACATCGGTTTTTATCATTGGTTTCAGATTTGGTTGTTGGCGCCCGGGCAAACCAACGATTTTATACCTAGTACATCGATGTTTGGCTGGTCTGGCTTAACTCACACTTTGGCATTGGCTTCCAAACTCGTTTTTGACTTCCAAACTTAGTTTCTGGCCTCCGGGCAAAACATCGATGTTTAGTAGGTCTGGCTTACCTTGCTTTTAGGCGGTAGGTTCAAGAACGACGATGTTTACTTGTGAATATTGATGTTCAAACTTGACCATTGGGGATCCTTTAAGATAATCTTTTCAATTTTGAAAGTCAACACACAAAACATTGATGTTGACATTGATGTTCGACAGTTAACCAATTCAAAAGAAAAGTCATTTAATAAGACTTGTTTTCAAAATATAACTTTTAAGAGCCAAATATTTCAAAATATTCTTGAGCGTTCGTCAGTTTACTCAAAATTTAAATTTCAAAATTTTAAATTTCAGTTTTTAATTTTTAATTTTAAGTTTTCATTCAATAAGACTTGTTTTTTTGTTAAAACTTAGAAAATATCAACGTTATTTGTTTTTGACCTATAGAATTCAAATTTTGGATTTGCAATTCTTTTCCTATGCCATGAAATTTAAAATATGGAATTGAAAGAATTAAAATTATAATTTAATTCTAATTTTACATATTTTTGTGCTACCAAACAAAAAAAATTAGAATTAGTCTTTAATCCCATTTATCAACCTTAATTTCTTCCATTTCTTTCTTACTATGCACACCAGGACCGACCCATTCCTTCTTCCCTTTCTGAATTCTGATTCGCACAAACAGAGACCATCATTTTCTTGCATCGCTGCTGACCGCCTTCAATCTCCTCGCGACTCGACCCCTATCATCATTCATCAGGGAGTTCTTCTTCATCCACCATCTATTTTAGAAGTATGTTAAATCTACGTTTTTTCCCTATAATTTTAACGTTTTATTTGATTTAATTCTTGAACTTCAATTTCTAAATTGTGTGAAGATCCAAGTTGTTTCCCAACAATTTTCCAATTTCAGTTTCTGGATGTAGTGATTTCTTGAGCAGAGCTTTTGAGTTTTGTCCTAGAGAGGCCTGGACGCACGGCTCTTCATAGTAGTACTTTTTTATAGCAAATTGTGAGTATTCCAACTTTATTTTTCTATTAGTTTGGACGCAGTATCCCGAATTCAATTTTTGAAGCTCATATCATCCTTTATACTTCAGGTCTTTAATCATAAACCTATATGTCTTGCCGGCCGAGCCGGCCTAAAGTTTTCATATGGGCCCGGCCAGGGCTTCAAATGATAGGTCTGCAATGTGGGACGGGCCGGGTTCGGGCCTATAAAATTCTAGTAATTTAGCGTCTTGGCCCGGCTTGGCCGGCACTTTGATCAATCCTGATCAAAATCCTTTTTTTGAGATAAACTTTGATAAAGATCTCTGTGCTCGTATATTTGCAGACAAAAAAGAGTAGACCTCGTTTAGGGGTTTAAGGACTAAGCAGTGTGTTCTTGGAGGGAAGATTTTTCCTGGAGGCTGACATTTAGATGGGTAGTTCAAAAATGGAGGGGTCATCCATACCTGCTTTGAGGAGAGACCCATACGAGGTATTGTGTGTTTCAAAGGATTCCTCTGATCAGGAAATAAAGACTGCTTATAGGAAACTTGCCCTCAAGTGAGTACCTCCTTTTTTCTTTAGCATATTTTTTTTGTTTGGATTATAGTTATATGTATAGGTCTGCAAAGCTTTCTTTAGCATATTTACCAAGCTATTGAAGCTGAAGGTTCCCTATTTTATTTGAGGGCTTTTACCGAGTTTATTGCTTTGGGGTTTGATGGAATAGTGTAAAATGACCTTTAAACTGTCCGTGGTTCTTTGAATTCTTTGAATAGTGAAGTAGCGGTTAGTTAATGCAACTTTTGATGCTTATCATGGGTCATCTGGAAACAGCCACTCTATGTTTTAAACATAGGGGGTCTGTACATCAGACCCCTTTACCTTACAATGGGCGAAAGCCTTTGAGGCACTGCAGTAATGTTGTTTTTGTTACTGAATTTATTGCTGTTAAAGGAAGTTCGTACTCTTGAAAGCTAAATTGTCACTAATGAATTATGGATTTAAGGGTTCAAGTGGAAACTCTACTACATTTGTGCATAGAAATATTTTAATTTGTTATAGGTGCTTCTAGTATGCTAAGTTGATTCGTGAAGCCAAACTTATTGAAAATGTAGGAATCAATGTTTGAAATGGCCTAGGGCAGATCTGAGGTGTTTTGTCGTTAGTGCATAAGGTGTAAGTCTCAAGGCATTACCAGGCATAAACTTTGAGTCCTTTCAGATTAACATGCCAAAATATAAGCAAGATTTGAAGAAACAATATTAAACATTTAGACTCTTAAAATAATAGCATAGTTGTTTAAGGCGCGATGTACCCTGATGCACCATGGGGGTTCCGGAGCCTCGATGCATGTTGTGCTACTGATGCGGGTGCATGACAAACATGAAGCGCAAATCAGGGACAAGTAGCATAGCAACTCTAAACTAGCAACAAACATACAATATTTTTAAAAAGAATAAACTTTTAGAAAGCAACCAAGAATCAAAGTCACACACAGTACCATTAAAGAAATGATCAAAGAACAAAAACAACAACAAAGAACAAGTTGTGGAACGTAAAACAGCGAGAGAAGCGTCATACGATGTGTAATTGCAAAACTCAAAACTGATACAAAAAATCATAATAAAACATTACAAAAAGACATTGTAGAGTGTAGGCTTGCTACAACTCTTTCATGAAGATGGAAAAAATTGTTTGAAAAATAAAAACCTACTGAAATAAAAACTTGAAGAAACTAAAAACCTGCAAAATTCTTGTGTCCAGGCTCGACAGAAGCTTGCACCCAAGGAAAGTTCAAGTAACCAGTGAAGGTCGAAGAATTGAGAAGAAACAGGGGTTCGAAGGAGGGAGTCCCTGCGACTCTTAAGGTTATAGGGCACAAAGAAAATAGAGGCGTAAGAGTCATGTTAAAAAGTTGGAGCGCAACCCTAAATTACACCAATCTTTTTAAAAAGTTGCAAGTGGTTCGTGATGCGTGCATTATAGCGCATTAACTTGCATCACATTATGCTACGATGCACAGTTATGTGATGCCTTAGGAACATCGGCCGCATCACAGATTGTGATGCACAACCTTTACTCCCCTAGCACCTCGCAAGCGCACCGCCCACACGGTTTTCACAACTATGAACGATACTATAAGAAAGCATTTATTAAACTTAAAGAGATTTACTTGAATCCAGAACTATCAAGATGCTCTCTGGAGAAAACCCTAGCGAGAATTCAAATGAACGTGGCAACTCTATGTTGGAGGATGATTAACTGTTGCGATGTAATAGGAGGAAATTGAAGGTCTGAGAGGAGACTCAGAACGTCTGATGGTGGGAATGCAGAGCCAGTGAATGAGAGATCTTATAAAAGCGTGCTTCTTGGAGCTGGACATGTGGCTGAGGAAATGGTGGTTGGTCTGGTTTGAGAGAATGCAGGGGCAATGAACTCTGATATGGATCTGTGCATGGAATGAGGATGAAGAGGACAAGTCGTTCTCAACATTCTGTTTGTCGCACTGCATAAAACATAGAGGAGATCTTTGATAGTAAGGACCTGTTTTGTTGGAAGGGAGGTGAGGGAAACTGAGCCCCTCCCATTGTTTGGTTAAAAAGAATGGAGGAGAGGGAAGGGAATCCAAAGTTATAGATTCAGTTCCTTCCCTCCCCAATCAGTCCCTCCAAATTTTCACTTTCCTCTTCTCTTCCGTTCTTCTTCTTCCTCTTCTTTTGTTTTGCTTGTCTCCCTTTATCGTGTCTTCCTTGGCGTCACTCATCTTCTTCTTCATCTCTCCTCGTTTGCAAACTTTCCCCGTCTGCCTCCCCTTTCTTCATCTTTCTTTTCTCTTTTCCATCGCTCTCCTCGTCTCCCTATGTTTCGTTACTTTGCATCCGTCTCCCTCTCCCATTGTCTTCTGAGGAGCAAGGGATTCAGGGCAAGCTTGTCAAGGTCGAAGATGATATCCTATATAGGAAGACTCTAGAGCAATATCAACATTATTGTCAACCAAGATCAATATACAAGCTTTGATTGCAGTGTTCTATTCCCTCATCCAACAAACAAGGTGAAGCAAATCCCTCCCATTCTCTCCCATCCCTCCCCTCCCCTCCAACCGAACAAACCCTAATGCTTTTAGGGAAATTAAGGGGTATAATTTCCTGTCCAGGAGGCTAAAGGAGATGTGGAAATGAGTTTCATCTTTGGAGGTTATTGGGATGGATAATGACTTCTTCCTTGCCAAGTTATCTTGTGAAGGGGATTATCACTATGCTTCTGTGCGTATGGACTTCTTTCTTTCATGCTCTTTTTTTGCTTATTAATCACACTCTTTCTTTCCAATTGGTAGTATATATGTGCATGGACTGTTTTGATTCAACAACTTCCTTATGGGTTTTTTTGTTAATTTATTTTCTTAAAAGTTGGATATTTTATATACATAAAATTTTAGTTCTTTTTTTAGATTTCTTGCCATTAAGTTTATGACCTTCCACCAATATTTTATATTATCCCGTGCTAAACTTTGTTGGATACTTGGATCTAAGACCTTTTACTTCACAATATACTTTTTGAATGTTTATGGATTAATTGTGTTATTAATAATGTTTTATCTTTTCTTTCAAAAAAATGTTTTATCTTTAATTTAATAATATTTTATGCACATTTTGGCACTTCAAAATGAGGCTTACGCCTCAATGCGCCTCGAGGCTTACGCAATACACCATGAAAAAAATGCCTCAAAACCGCAATACGCCATTTCTAACACTGCGTTGAAGGATGAGTGGTATAACTCAAGAGTGGTAGGGAAATGAATAAAGGAAAGTCTTTATCAGATTATGAAATCAAGATCTAACTTCATAAAATAACAAAGATGAATGAAGCTCTTTATAAAAATATGAGCAAGAAACTTAAACTCATATAAGTAATAAAGCCAATGAGAATCTCCAATAATAAATATTGAATTATTTTCAGGATAGCTTTTACAAATAATGAGCCTCAATATTTATAGAAGCCAAATAATTACCAATCCCTAGAATTTAGGCCACTACCACAGTACGACATTAACTAGTAACTATTCCTAGACTTTAGGCTCACTACTACATTACTTAGCAACTACTCCTAGAATTTCGGTCCACTTACACATTATTAACTACTTAGTAACTAACATATACTTCCTCTGTCTCAAAAACTCCTTCCCCTTTCTTTTTTTCTTGTCCCACAATCTTCCCTTTTCTATTAAAAAATCACTTTTACCCATACTAATTCTTAGCATACCTATCACATCATACCTTTTTACTAATAATCTACACATCACATCCTACTTTCACCCATCACATAAAGGGTATTTTTGGAAAGTCAACACAAAAATATCCCTCCCTTAAATTTTTCTAAAAGTCAAAATGAGAACATCTTCATGGGACGGATGAAGTATAAAATAATATCTTTGACCCGTTAAACAACTGACCCCAAGTCCCAACTGACTCTATTATTAATATTAATAACAGACAAATAACTTCGTATGTGGCACTCTATCATTATCCCTTCCTTCAAAATTTGCCTTGTCCTCAAGGCAAAATCTACACTGTAGCTTCTTGGTATATCAGGAGGTTTTGGTAGAAGTGGTTGGAAGACAATATAATGAAAAACTCCAATAAAAGCAGTGGTGCTTTTAACATAAGTATCAAAATACGGCATAACAGCTTTAAGGATAAATCGATGCATGACACCACTATCCAAGGGTTCTTGAAGACTTATCAGTGATGATGTAGAACTTTCCATGATGGCGTTGAGTGTTGACATGCATATAGGAGTTTTGCAACCCCACTTTGGAGGCATTCTCATCAGCACTTCACATAAGAATCATAAACGAATTATGTGCAACGTTTAGAGGAAATGGAGAGGCTTTGTTTTTTAAGATGTCTCTGCGGTTTGTGGGATTAGTACAGAGGATGTGTTCCATTTACTGAGAAATTCTGGTGCAGGGAAAGCATTCTGGGAGTTGGTGAATGCTTCCTGATGTTTTGCCAATATTTTATAAATCGATGGATAGAAGAGGAGCCTTGGCGCAACCGTTGAGTTGCCGTGTGATCGTGTGGTCACGTGTGATTCTTGGAAGCAGCCTCTTGCAGAAATGTAGGGTAAGGTCCAGGTACATTACTCCCTCGTGGTGGGACCCTCCTTTCGTAGAACCCTGCTCATGGGGACACTTTGTGCACTGGGATACCCTTTTATGAATTCATGGATCATAAAAGTTGGATTCTATCCAATTTGAAAATTCTTTCAGTGCAAGTGGAAGGCATCTCACGGGACATTTTTTGCTACTGCAGTGTGGTACTGTGGTTAATTTGGAAAACAGAAATGACGGTCACTGGCGGTGGTACGTGAACACTGGTCTTGTTTTCAATTAAGTACCTAAACTTCATTTTTCTATACAGAAACCTGAACTTTATGAAATCTTTCAAGAAATAGATTTCAGCAGATTTCAGAGGTGATCTACTCATTCTACTGGTCATTTTGCTTAGGTAGAAGAAGAGTTGACTTCTAAGTTAGCACTTGGAACTTGGAAGCCAACTCATATTCCACCTAAAAAGATGTCCGGAAGATGACTTGAAACC